GTCCATCTTACAATATTAGACGACCGTGAGAAGGAAACGGAAGCTTGAAGATCTCAGACGTCAGTTAAAAAGTAGCTCCGTATAGCGCAGAGAACCCTGTGGACGGAGGCGAATTTCCGCAACGCATCCGGCATGACTTTCAAGTCAGGGGATACAATCACACCCAACTCCTTCACAGAGGCCGTATTGCTCAGCAGGAAACCACCAATGTGGTCAGTGCCGTAAGGTTCTGTAGTGGGCTTAACGACATAAAAGAACTCCTAGTCTATAAGGAGTGCTGGACCTGACCTTCGATAAGCACCATCCTCGGTAGGCTGTCAGTTAGTCGCACAATCCAGTGGGAAGACGAAACTAAATCCGCACAATAATTCGACGCCGTAGATCTGGTGATCGATGAACGAGGCAAGCAGACTGACGATCAACAGCACAACACGCGTAGCCGAAACCAGAAGGCGAATAGAAACCCGAAAATGTCTTTCTTTTGGTTGTTGGCCAGTTAAAACAAAACTGTACAATAAATAATAGAAATGGGAATAGGAAGGTACAACTGGGAAGAGAAATATGTACAATCGCTACAGAACTCCCCCGATAGAGCACGAGTAACTGTGACAAATGCTCGACACTTGTGTGTCGTTTATCGTAGTCTGGAAGGGAGAATAACTGCACGTCTGAAGCGTTTACAGTGGTGCGAGTTCGAGTTTGTGTCCTGAGATGCTCAGGGTGCAGGTGAGGGAACAGTAGTGTCACACATGGGCTGAGTAGGAGGCGTACTTGGGAAGGTGGGCTGGTCGGTGACAGGAATGTCCATGGGTTTCGGTAGTGGTCGCGTCTCGATGTAAGCCAGCTTCAAGCGGTCAATACTCACAGTATCCTGATAACCATTTCTATCCAGCACGAAGTACTCCTTCCGGGCAACAACCTTAACACTAGAAAGACCGCTCCGCCGTTATACCTAGAACGCCCGGGACCGGTCAAAATGACCGGAATGTTATATTTTTTTATTCCAAACTTTCAAAGTAAGAATTTTTTTCCACGGGCATTTATTAAAAAGCTAATGTATAGAAGACATACCTGTAACAGAAAAAAGGATTGTATACTAAGGTTTAAGATTTTTTTCAAAAATGTTAAACAGTTCCGTATACACTACTCCAAATGTGCAATTGAAGCAAGTAGATAAACTCGCTCAATCTGTCCACATGAGCCGCAAACTATTTTTCACGGCGAGATATTTTAGTTCCGCAAACAGTGTTATAAAGTATTTAGGAATTTATGCCAGCCAAATCCAGTACAGTTGAAAAAGATTGGATGGCCATCGTCGATGATGACTTCACAGTGAGTGACTCTTGTCATTTGGTCGAGTACATCCGACACCATACTTTGTGGAGTTGTTAAACAAACACAGTCTCGGGTTTCTTCTTTACAGAGTCTTGAACGGAAGAGTTACTATGAGGGAACTGAAAACAAAACACTCTTATTCCTTCTACAATAGGTAGGATGTTAATGTGTGCGTATTTTCATTCTCATCATAAGTGAACTGAACAGCTCTCTATTTTCTTTGCTTCAAAATCGATGGTACTTCCTTTCTATTAGCTCGAAGTGTTCCCACCAACTTGTGTTTTTCTTGGCCGCATTTTCTCTAATGCTGCCGTATGTAAAGAAGTTGTACATGTGACATTGTAACCCTTTCCAAATAATGGTGACACCAAGCGCAATACTACGCTCTCTGCAAGTTTTCTCCTCTTGACCTAGTTTCGTCCTTCCCGAGATATGGAATCCATTAACGAGATACTTGCTGTCTACTTCTGCCAGCATCCAAAAACTTGATACCGAACGTATCTGGTTTGTGTGGGCATGTACTGGAGAAAACGACAACGGGTTTTGGAGGGAAACAATTGTCATCAACTGTGAGATTCTGCGCCTAGGCACATAGCATTGTTGAGAGTTGCGAAATGAGTGCATTCCACAGTTCAGATACCAAAGCAAACATATCCAGTTAGCAGTCTTTCACATCGGGTAGTTCGCATGTCAAATCGGAGGAACCTCATTATTTCTTTGAAGCTGTTCTTGCCAGTTGTCTCTCTGAAAAGAGGCAGGCGCGACAAGTGCTTTATACATCGGGCACCGTGCTGACAACCAACACTCTTAGACACTTCGGCGCGTCTTTCACTGTTTATTTAGTGTTTGCACCAATATCAAGGAGGGACGCGAAAGCACCGCTTTTTCACCAGTAATCCCTATTTTAGATTATTTTTCCGGCATCTGCCGTTGTGTGCGCTCGATGGTACTTCCCTTTCACGCTAATCTGCAGCCTGTAAATGATTGATAAGTGTCTATCGATTGATCACTGATCAAGCTGCAACAGCTGTCACGTCAGTGCACCTTTTCAAAGCTCGTGAACATGACAGTCCTCTCTCGATGTATACCGGACCTTGAGAATTACAAACCGTCTTCGAAGATTGTCCTCTTTTATTGACTGCAAACCTCAATCCGACGAGTAACTTCGACCTAATCCAGCACATATTCCGTTTAGACCAGTCATTGGTAATCTCATTAAGCTTATAAGGAGTCACGGTGGAAGGATGTCGAATGATAAAGGTGACACATGACTCGGAAACGCGTGCTATAGTGTAGCGACCACTATGAATGCATGGTTTGACTCCAAGGAAGTGTCACAGAAACGAAGGCGGTTCGGCAAACGAGGCACCATTCTTGGCTGTCTCTGTGCTCGTATCCATGCAAGACGGTACCGCTGCCTTGCATCAAATTAAGCGATTTTCTCGACTTTGAATCAGCAACACAAGGTGGTTAGTATTCGTGGAGCCCAATCAAACGTCAACCAATCAAAGAAGCATCCTGGCCGAACGACTGTTTGATAAGAGCAATGACAAACTTCCTGGTTCGTGTCTGATTGGATGCTTGGTTCATTTTAATGCAATGACCTCATCGTTGCGATTGTCCTAGTCTACTCGAGCGATACGGACCCCGCGTAAACTTGTACTCCAAACGAAACGGAACAACTGCCGATACTCGCGAACTAGATGGAGCGCACTGGTCTATACTCGAACTGTCTACCGCTTGCCACCCGTGCATCCAACACTGAGGGGAGAGAAGTCTGAACGTCAGCAGATCATTTTTACGACTTAGCGGAAAGGCGATTACATAGCCGCATAATCCCACTTTTATAACGAGACTGGCAATACAGGAAAAAGGGTCCCAGTAATCGTGGGCCTATACGTGACAAAATAATCCTCACGCTATGCCGTGGGTGTCGGAGCAAATGAAGTGTGGGTGTGTCAGACATCAGCGTGGATGTGTTTGGATCGTGAACTCACAGAAGTACGATGTCTAAGTCACGACTTGCGCAACCTTTTTATGGACAAGTGCTCCTCATAACAGTCTACTTGATCCATGCTGGCTCGTAACCTTGATCAGAATCCGATGGCTTGGGTTCGAGTCTGCATAGGGACCGGACGACTAGGCAACATCATCAGTGCGGCTTTAAATCCTGTTTCGCAGAGCCTCGTAAGCGACTTCCAGATTTAAGTGCTAATTGATCGAGTTCTGCTTTGTATACCAGGCTTCAAGAAACTCACGTGCTTGCTGGCTTGGTGCTCTTCCGAGGATTTTCACGTGCTCCAAATCGAATTGGTGGCCTTCGGCATCCATTTGCACGGATATTAGAGTTCTTATCATGACAGCGGATGGCTAGGTTATGTTCATGTAGCTGTGTGCCAAGCTTTCTTCCTGTTTGTCCTACGTAGTATTTGTCACAGTCTCGGCAGCATATCTTGTAGATTAAATCAGATGTTTCCCACTTGCTAAGATTATCCTTCACTTTGAAGAGTTATTTCGCATTGTTTCTGTTGGCTGGTGGGCAGTTTTGACTCCTAAAGGCATCAAAAGTCTCCCTGCCATTTCTGAGATTTCGTTGATGTAACACGGTTTGCTTTTCAGTCGTTGCAGTTGCTGAGGTGTGTTGTGTTGTTTTATGTAGGGTCAGGCAACGCAGAATGAAGCTATCGTGCTAATCGTACTCCCATGCGTGCCGGAGATTGCCCTTGAACCATACTGACTAAGTGAAATAATCGTAACAAGAGGCGGGACCGTGCATACGTAGCACGTGTCCAAGCCAACGTACCTTTTTCAATGTTATTTTAAAGAACTACCCTAATTATCATCGCCTAGTACTCACCTACACACATTGCCGTTGCGAGTACGCTGGTGCCAACCGACATCAGTAATGCTTCGCAGATACCGATGATCTACGACTTGAAGGTGCTTCAGTTCCTCAGATCGGAGGAGCCAGGTCTCACTCCCGTAGAGTAGGACGGCTCTCACTGTGGTCTTGTACGCACGGCCTTCCAGATGAAGGGATTTCTGTTCTGACGCCACAAATTTCGCAGGTTCAATAAGGCGCTTTTGGTCTTCACAGTGCAACACGCACCAAAGTGGGTGAATCGATAACTACCTCTAGTTAAGGATCAATCAAGAAACTGTTGGTCCTGCAGCAACATCTTGTACCTTGAAGGTACGAAGCACGTACCAAATGATGGAATCACTCCAGTTATAGTTGACTGGGCCGTACTAAGGTTGTCAAACAGCAGGTCGATATCGTTCACACACAATACAGATCGACTGATTTTCCGCCAGGCAGCACCTCAACGCCTGCCCGATGATATTACTCACTCTTGCTCATGCTTATCCGTGGCGCTGCTGTAGCATTTTCACATTCGATAAAAGTGGCGGATGCTCGTTCCCCTACCTATTCGTTCTGCTCTCATTTCTGATTACAACGCTTATAATTTATTCTTTTTCTACGTTTTTGTACCACTAAATCGATTAAATAAGATCTACCATCTCATAAAGCGACGCAGGTGCACAACTTCTCAGTTTCGATTCGATCGCTCTCTTTCGATCCCTTCTCTCAGCCTAGGAATTCTATTTACCACCCGTTTCCACGTTTAATTTGCGCCATTTTTCACGTCTTGCATATCGCAACTAGGTAGTCGCGACGATGACCGCCACTGTGGGACGCTACCGCCGGTTCTCAGTGTTAGTCGCGACGGGAAATGGACGTGGTCTCTGTGGGATCGGCAAATCCAAGGCGATCAATTTGAAAGCTGCGATTCGATGTGCAAGACTTCGCGCAGCACAAAACCTAATGTCCTTCGAATTGCGAGACAATCGAACACGTAAGTTCACACACACTTGTGCACGCGCACAGATGTTTTATCTTCTAATGTCTCTTGACTCCATAAACTGACTGACATCATAGATTTACTTGTCGCGCCATAGAACTGTTGTGATGTGTTGCGAATATGATTGTGTGGAGTTGGGTATCTTCAGGCGTGCATTTGTTTCTTGTCACTATCATTGCGCTACTCGGATATTTGTTCTGGGAACCCAATGATTGCAGAACGTGACCGTTAGCACTGAGAGATTGACAAGGTCGGTAGACAACAGCGGTTTTGTTCGCTGATTAGTCTCTGCAAGTACTTGAATTTCATATGAAGCAGACTCTGTGCAGCAGTTGGAAACATTGTTGGATGTGCATTTCTCCAATCTGAGATTCCGAGAACGATTACCTGTTGTCCATCATGTGTGAGTCTCTATTTACTGTAAGAACTTGAAAACGATCAGGGTATTGACAGATTACAGATGGTTTATTTCTTAATGTTTTTGATCATATTTCGTTGAAGTTGTACGGATTATACAGTATTCATGGTCTGATGCCAGAGTACATATGCGGCACCTGAATCTTCCACTTCTTACACTCGCACACACACAGTCTAGCGGGGTTTGCCGTTCATCTCATGTGCACCAAATATGAGTCAAACGCGAAGGAGAGAACGTTTGGCATGCATCCAACGCATGCTCTGCTAGTTCTTCGAAACTCATGTCGCCATTCTAGCATGTGTAACTCGTTTCTAAAGACCCCTGCAATACTAGTCTTCGTCATTAGGTCACAAAGGTAATGTGAAGATGTTCTCAGAAGCCAATGATACAGACACATCTCCTCTGTATAGAAGCCCTGATTGTTTTTTACAAATTGTCAACGGGATTAAGCGACTGCCTTGTGACCCGAAGGCCACCGGTTCAAATCTGCCTAGGGAAACGGGCGACCCTCACAGTATCCTTAGCCCATGCGCGACTGATGGTAGTCACGTGGCAGCGAAGCGTCGGTACTGCTTACCGGCGTACTGATGGTGCCTCTGTCTTATAGCACTAGAGAGAGAAAAGGTTTAGCAATAATACAGCCCATTTCACCACCATTCCTGCCTTTCATATATCCACCACCGTCATCAGTAGAGTTTGGGCGAGCCGGGATTCTGTCATGGCTTCCATCCACATACCTGCCAGCCTTCTTTCTGATTTATGCTAGATACGCAGGTGTGCGGATGAAGCTATGTGTGGTGCTGCGCAAGTCACACTCATGGGTCCCTTCTGTGAGCATAGGCGTCCTGCGACCATTCGGAGTCTCGCTGCTGTATGGACGTATGGAAACAGATATTGCCAAGCATACGTGACGCTTAGATCACAGAGCAATCAGACCGTCTACTTAAAATGGATAAATGTCCGATTACCATTTTCAGCTGGATTAAAGCATGTTTGAGGTCTTAAAATTTGTGAGATTCAATTGGGGTTTCATGGTTCATTTGTTCTCCGAGCTTGGCGGTTTTGTCGCAAACGTTTCACCACCATGCGAGGTGGCATCCTCAGTGCAGTGATATGTAGCGTGCAAGCTTGCACGCCACCATGAAGCCCCAATTGAATCTCACAAATTTTAAGATCTCAAACATGCTACATATCACTGCACTGAGGATGACACCTCGCATGGTGGTGAAATGTTTGTGTGAAAACCGCCAAGCTCGGAGAACAAACGAACAATTGATTTATCAACCCGAGCTACCAGTATTTCGAAACATTTTAAACAACTATGGGACTTCATGTGCTTGCTCTTTGAGCACTTTAGTTACCCACAAGATGTTTATTCGGAGTTCCACTTTCGAATTCCAATGCGCTCTGTAGATCCGCTGCTTATTGCATCGCATCTAGTGCTGCTGCAAACTGGCAGGCCTTCACTGAACTTTCCGGGTAGAAACGCAGAGGCCGCAATATCGTGTCCATCGACTCCCCATTTACATTCCATGAATTGTAGGTACGATGCTGCGTGGGCACGACAGGTTCATTGTTATCATCATATTTGTTAACAGAACATCAGGACTTTTTGCTTGTGCTTTGATGTCATGAACCCATAAATCACTAGTGATGATCCTGTTAAGAAGGAAAAAGAAGAGTGCCAACACGCAACATGGTTGCCCTGAATAACTGTCTGGAGTCAAATTGTGTGCAATTTGTCAACGACGCATAGTGTCAGCCAGTGAAGATAGGACGGCACTGACATAACAGCTTCCTCGTGGTTTACACTGCCCCAACGTTACCGCACATGGGTAAGCAGTGATTCAGTAAAGATGTACCATCATGAGAATGGAGTGGGAGACTAGCATGGCGAAGTTCGTGTCCTAGCAGCAAAGCCACAATTGTAGATATAAGCCCGTCGCGAAATACTTTCAATCCTCGTGCATCCCGTCACCATAATCATGACTATACAGACGTGCCTTGCATTGTCCGAGAATAAAAAATTTATTTATCTATCGGATCTAGTTGTACTCGGTCTTTCACTGTCATTGTGGAGGACGACTGCAATCCACTCGCCAACATCGACGGCTCGAAGACTGCTGACGATGACGGTCTCCATCGGCTGATTTTCAAGTCTCGACTTCCGTTACTGACTTGTTTAACAGCTCGCTGTTTATAGGTACAGTGCAGTGACTAGAAATTCCCGGTGGTGAAGACGATTCCGAAAAGTGGTGATCCTGGCAACCTGATTTTCTGACCTCCGTTTTTACAAACGTGCTTGTGAAGGTTGTGGTGAAGAGTCCGCCGCTCCTGACGACAGCGTGGTTTCATGAAAGTCCGCTCTTGCATCACCAACTTGCTGCTGATGAGGCATGAATGGTTACAAGCGCTGAACCGAGGTAAGTCAGTCGACATGAGAGGCTTCTCTACGCTATTGCATGCCACTCCACTACGCACTGATGATGTCACCACGATTGGTGACGAAACGTTTGCAACAAAATTGCCAGGCTCAGCGCACAGTTCAACAGCCACCTGAACAACATGAGCTACCAGTTTTCATTGCTATAGGTTCCATCATCCTGGAGTGAGTCGATAGTCGTCCCCATCTTCAAAAAGGGCCTGCGCACAAAGTGTTCCAATTACAGGGGCATAAGTTTGGTTCCCGTCGTTTGCAAGATTCTGGTGTCCATTCTTCGCAGACTATCCCCAACGCGTGAATCACTACAGCGAGAAGAACAGGCTGGGTTCCGCCCTGGTCGCGGCTACATCGATCAGATTTTCACACTCCTCCAGATTCTCGAGCTCCGCCGTGTGTATCAAAAGCCAACGATTGTTGCGTTCCTGGATATCCGTGCTGCCTTCGATTCTGTCGACAGGGCTGCATTGTGGCACTGTCTGTTGAAGAATGGTATTCCCTGGAAGTTCGTTTCCATTCTGCATGCTCTGTGTAGTCTGACCTCGGGTAGAGTTAGGGCTTATGGCAAGCTTTCGCCTACCTTTGTTGTTACCAGTAAGGTTGGACAAAGATGCTCCATCTCTCCATTCCTCTTCAACTTTGTCATTGAGCATATCCTCAAGAATACTATAGAAGACTTGTTGAATGCTGGTGTTGAGCTCCTCACAGGTAGTCGGATGGTTGATTTGGATTACGCTGATTATATCATCTTGTTGGGCGACGGTTCGCACGCCGTAAAACTTGCACTTAACCGCCTGGCGATTGAAGCGTTGAAGTATGGCATGCACTTTTCACCATTTAAGTGCAAAGCGCTTGTTCAAGACTTGTATACACCTCTACTGAGCTTTGTCTACCTGGGAAGCTGCATAACTGCTAGTGGAGCTGTTGGAAACGAGATTTCGATGCGTATCTCAAGAGCACGTCTGGCCTTCTCCACACTAAGGCATTTATGGCGCCGCCATGACATCCGTCTCTCTATTATAGGACAGGTTTATAGTGCCTGTCCGCGCTGTACTGTTGCGAGACTTAGCCTTCTCGTATTGATGACTTACGTCAACTGTCTGTCTTCGAGAGCCGTTGCTTGCGGTCCATCACCTGTGTGTGGTGGCTGAAGCACGTAACCAACAATGAAGTCAGACAGCGTTTCTTGGATGAAGACAGCGCTTGTCTCGCTGCGCCAACTACGATGGCTCGGATACATAGTGTGTGTGCCTGTTCAGCGTCTTCCGCGTCGTGCCTTGTTCACGGTCACTGGACAGGGCTGGGGGAGGCGGTGTGGTGGACAGCCTACAAGTTGGAGAAGCAGGATGAAAAAGCTGACAAAACAACTAGCTGCGGTGGGTTCTTCTTGACTCCCTAGATGAGGTCCCTTGGAAGTCATGGCTCGAAACCGAACTCAATGGCAGGCGTGTATCTCTGCTTGTTGCGGTGGTTCCCGTTCCCTCCCCCAATAGAAATTTGTGAGTGGAAAAAATGGACAAAAACTGTTTTTTTCTTTCTTCTTTCACTCTAACCCTGTTTTCCTATTCCGCCATGGTCGTGACGGCACAGTATCTGTACACACATTGTGATATATATATATATATATATATATATATATATATATATATATATATATAAACATTGAGCAAACGGAACACGCGCTAACGCACTCGGCCGACGATAAGGCGTGCATGGCGACTGGCCATGTCGACCGAGTGGGCTGAAAGTGAATCGTATCCGACCCACGTGAGCTGAAAAGGATTGCATGAACCGGATGTGTACAATGCATAATATACACGGCTTGATGTGCGCAATGCTCGGCTTGACCCTAGGCGCAGAAAGTATAGATTGGACCAGTCACAGCGGGCGAAGAGGGCAGTGAATATAAGTGGAAGTTAGGAGATGCAACATCATCATTATTGCACATTAGCTGAGGAACACAGCTTTTGCGCCGCAATGAAAAAGCGAAACACTAAACATTACAAAGTACAATGTAACAACCAAAATGTATTATACTACGCATCGGGTTTGAGATCATGGTTGGGGGGAGGAAAGTAAGCGGAAGGTAGAGGGGCAAAAAAACTCATCAAAGGGAGACCACAATAAGATGTAGTCAGTGGAATATCCTCTTATGTAAGTGGCATTTGAAATTTATACACAAATAGTGAGTTGTGATCACTGCCTTTGGACTTTGGTTCCACTCTCGGGACGCTATTGTAGAGGGAAGAGTGATGTTTGTCTGCCCCTTTCAATCGCTTGGTGGTGTACTGCAGCAGAAAGCTTATCACCCTATCATGCGGATAACACAGCGTTGAGCATAAATTTCCCCATCGCTGCTCCAGCAAATGTCGTATTCTAACATCTATGTCGGTGTGGAACATTCAGTCTGTTTTGATATGATCCTTTGTATGCGCCGCACCGTACGACACTCCTCTACGTGTGCGCAGCCTAGAAGTATGCTTGTGATTTCCACGGTCACTGGAGCAAGCATCACTAGTTATTAATTCCTAAATTCCTTCTACGAAATTCCTAGTGTTTTTCCAATTTTCTTTGTCTCTGATCAGAGGCGCTAATTCACTTCCATCTTCTTCTTGTTCCAGTGTGGCACATGGGACATGTTAAGGAATGGCGCACCTCGATTTTCGCAAAGCCCCTACCTGATGGTAAGCTACCGTCGTTGTCACATTGTGCCGTTGCGCACGAATGCTGCGTGTAATTTCCCATTTTCGCCCTGAAATTATTATCCCAACGCGATTTCATCCAGATAAGAGTGGAAATCTTGAGCGATACAAACCAGACTAGATGTTCACATCACATATACAGGACGGCATTGTGTCGAGAATCATTGGGGTAGTTATCCAGATGTCCGTTCCGCCTCCCTACGGGTCGCCCTTAGCTTTAAGGATCACAAGCTTGCTTTGTAAACCGAGGGCGTGGGTTCGAACCTGCGTTGGGACCCGGTGACCCTCGCAATATCCCACATGCGACTGGTGGTGGTTGCACGCAGCGAAGCGTCGATACTCCGTATCGGCGTACTGCTCATGCCTTCTTCTGCTTCTCTACTGCCTGGGTTCAAGTCCACGCTTCCGCGGCACATCCCAACTCGCGTACAACCGCATGACAGTGGAGTACCGAAAGGATTAGGTGCAATTCTCCGGTTCGAATATGTGTAGATACTGATGATCTCGCGGTTTACTCAGCCCACGCGCGACTATGGTGGTCATGTAGCAGCGAAGCATCGGTACGATGTGCCGGCGTACCGCTGCTGATGCCAATGCCGATGATACCCTATATATTGCCACTATCACATGTATCGTCGTCGTCATCATCATCATCATCCACTTTTGTAACCTGATGCGGTGCCTACTTTTCTGTTCTGCAGGTGCCGGACTAACATGCCATCGCCTGTTGCGCACGCTTTGCAACATCATCGGAATCAAAGACATGTATGCCAAGGTCGAGGGGAACACAAAGAATTATCTAGTAATTGTTCGTGGATTCTTGCGTCTCCTTAGCGAGCAGGTACGTGTGTCTCCAATGGCCTCTCTGCACTTCATGGTGCTTACAACAATTCTGTAATCAGCGGAATTAGACGATGTCATAAGCAACAACTTTGTAGCCGCTACGGTTCCCTCCCATTATTCTCACTTTCGAGGGAACAGATTCATTCATCTTCAGGAGTAATGAAACGCCGGATTTGGTTTTGCAGGAGATTCCTCACAGATACACCGAGCCTTCCATTGCGAATCCGGTAAAGTACTAGACGGTCATTTCGTACTTCCGGAGCTCATCAGTAATGCGCGCTCCATCTGCCTGGTGAACAATGGTTTTATACGGGTAAAATAGAGGTAGGCTACAGGCCCTGTAGGATGATCATGGTGAAAATTCAAAAGATAAGAAAAATTGCCAGCATATTAAAGTTCACACAAGTGGACTCACCGCGATATATATATATATATATATATATATATATATATCCGTTTACACCGATTTCGTGAGGGCTGGAGAGCAAAATATTTGTCTGCGTCCTGTTGTCAATAAGGGAACAGAAATCAAATCAACTAATCCAGGTATTCTAATGCATCGGGTCGTATTTTAAAAACAGGTAGCATGGGCGCCGAACTGACAAGTCAGCAGAGCGTTCCAGAATTGACAAAGTCGAAGAGAAAATAGTTCCGGCGGCATTCCAGCCGACTATATTGTGTACCCAGTTTCAGCTGGTGACCAATCGATTTTGTGTTGCGGCTTAATTTCAAGTGGCGGCAATCGTGATCGGAGTTCTTTTTTAAGACCTGGATCGCCAGAATGAGGTCGCCCCGTCGACGGCGATAACTTCCGCTGTACACCTGTTTTCCAGTCGCAGAGGATACCGCGGATGGAGCATTCACTTAGCATTTTTGTTGCTCTTCGCTGTGCAACTAGATCTCTTTTTAACCAGGGTTATCAGACCTGAACCACGTACTCCAACATGGGGCCTCACATACGCATTGAGCATTTGGGGGAAGTTGGAGTAGTCGAACCGCCCGAACGCACTCCTTAAGAGACCAACATGTTGGTTAGTGGTTTTGGGCACCTTCAAAGACTGCGCCGAATAGCCGAGGTCGTCTTGCATCACCACGCGAAGATCACGCTCCTGTGAGGCGGTTTCCAGCATGTGGTCTCCAAGCTTATATACAAAAGTGGGCTTGTGGCGTACATGTACAGTCTTGCACTTGTCTACGTTACATGGAAGTAGATTTGCCTTTGACCATTTAAAGACAGTCTAAGTCGCTCTGCAGCACATCATGATCGTCCCGAGAACCGATAGCTCGCCATATCTTGATGTCATCGGAAAAAGGAGGAGCTTCGACTCAATGATACGCAACAGGTCGTTGATGAAAACCAAGCATAGGCGCGGTTCTAACACCGTTCCCTGTGGGACACCGCAGTCCACGTCGATAGGATCAGAAAATGAACCTCAGCCGAACCTGAAGCCGCCGCTGAAGCAGGAAATCTTCGATCCATCCAAGGATCGGGTCCCCAATTCCGTAGACATGTAACTTTTGGAGAATTCGGTGATCTAAGCGGTCGAATACCTTAGAAAAGTCGAGGTGTATGACGTCAGTGCCGGTCCCACTGCCACATGCAGTCAGCAGCTTGGTAGTACATGGCCGATGCTGATGGAATCCATGTGGTTCTTGTGCTATGATGTTAGACCTTTCAAGGTAGCCCATTAGAGCCTCAGCTATGATTGACTCCATAACCTTTGAGAGCACCGGGAGTAGAATCACTGGACAATAGTTGACAGGCTCCGAACGGCTACCACCCTTGAAAATTGGGGTGATAATGCCCTGCTTCCGCATGTTGGGGACCTGCTGTTCATCCAGCCAGCTTTGGAAAAATCGAGCTAATGGCTCAACTACCCTCGTAGCTGCCACCTGAAGCGATTTTGGAGGAATGTTGTCAACACCAGTGAAACTGTGGGCACGCAACGATATCAGCTTTCTTAAAACGGTCGCTGAACTAAACGTGACGTGTGAATATTTGCGCCTGGAAGAATGGGACAGGTATGTGACATACGCTAGTGGCGCATCAAAATATTGAAGCCTATTGCTGCCTTGGAACGTTGGCTGTATCCTCGGCAGTTTGAGCACATCCATTTGCTGAGACAAGTGGGAGACCACCACGCTTCACATACCGGAGGCTGTTCACATGTCTGTACAGAAGCTTGTTGTTAGCACAAAACCTTCCTGTTGAGCTCTGCTGGTGTACTAATTTGTCCTCGCGTACAATTGTAGTACAGTGATTACGATGCACTACCTAATAGCTCCAGTTTCCTGGGTTAGGGTTCGCTCTATACACATGCCACGCTGCGTCTCTTAACGCCATGCGTTTTCGGGTCCTGTTCCTAATGATTGATGTTGCTATTGTAAAACGAATGGGTCTGTTTACAGATGCTGATTCAATCAGATCGTTGAACTTGCCAGCAAGTTACATTCATCAATAGAGCAATTGTCCGAAAAGTCCCAACAAGTTCTGTGAGTGTGTTGTAGTTTGTGATTGTTCGAAACAAGTTAGTATGTTCTTATGGATATTCCGCATAACACAGTCACAAAGTGTTGTTACGTGGTCACTTCGCTCCAGAGGGCTCTATCTTTGGTTTCTCGATCATGAGCTCTTCGCTCATGAGCTCTAGCTCAAGCAGAGATGGCTTATTTCCCGTTCTGAATCTGGTGGGCGAACTGACATGGTTGAAGGACGAAATGCCTGCAATAAACTTGCAGGTTTGCTTTGAAAAGTCCGTTGGACGACGAAGCCGGAACTTCCAAATCGTGAACATTGAAGACGCCGGAGATGAGAACATGGCTGTATCGTTGTCGAAGTATCCTCCCCAATACGAATGTCAGGCGGGAGTCTATCACTGGAGTGGACATTGGGGGACGATAAACAACTGCCAAACGGTAGGTGTCGCAGACTGTACCAGAGCGAGTTCCTGAGCAGCGTTTCCGGATCGTTCACCGGTTCGCACTGCAGATCATTACGGTAGTATAGAATTACCCCACCGCCCTTACAGTAGCGATCGTTTCGAATGAGGGATATGTCATGTATCTCAACTCCAGCGATTTTTGAATGCAGCCAAGTTTCCGTTATGAATATGAGATCCCAGGCGTATGATGCGTGACGTAGCCGCAGTTCGGCAAGCTTTCTCAGTGGACCTTGTGCATTGGTGTGCATGCAGGCAAGCCTCTCTGTTCTCAGCCATGAGTCGTGGGATGTGCGTTTTGGATATGCTATCGTGCCGACTGGTGGAAGGTCGGCAACTAGTCCTTTTTTGGTTGGAGTGATGACGAAGTCATCTGTGTCAGGTCCAGAGATCCCGCTATTACATCTATGATTTTCTCTTTATATGTAGTGTTTGGAGTGTGTTTGCCAGTTTCATTGGCTAGGTGAGTAAAGTTATCCGAACTGTTATCTGGAGGTGGTCCGACTAAGTGGCTGCTTTCGTGTACTTGCTTAAGGGAAGCTGCTTCGATCCGGAGCTCGGAAGGAAGGCTGCTACGGCCTGCATACCAGCTGTCTAACATCCTTGATGACATTTGTCTGGATTGTAGCACCACTTTCACAATCTTTGTAATTTGGCGACCTGTGTAGCCTCGAGATCGACTGCGTTATGACATTTTCCAGGGACAGGGTCTCTCGAATGTATCGCCACTGCTCTTGGTCGTGGGCGGTCGCTTCGCACTCATCATGACCTCCAGCCTCGGGAACACCGTGTACATGAATGGTCCTAGCCACGGATTCCTTTCGGTGTTCTTCCAAGTCATATTTCGCCTGTTTGCGCTCGCTGCACGGTATATCCGGAAAGATGCGGATGGAAAATGACACATTCCGAAGGCGCGGTGTCAATAACAGGATAGCTTCTGCTTCACCAACGGAAGTCAATAAAGTGCGGAGAATTCTCGGTTCACCGTAATGCTTTGAGTTTGGATGACGCGTGATCCGTGTCAATTTGGCGGGCTTAACAACAACACCTATGATGTCACATGGAGTTCCACTGGTTCACATCATGGAATTGTTTTCCTTTTAATGCATTTGATGTTGACTCTGGAACAGTGGTGCAGATTATCGATGGTACACTGTGTGCAGCTCGGATCGATGTCAGTCGCCCAACTGGTCTGCATACAACAAGTTGAGGCTGTTGATGCACAACTTCGTCTTCTGAAGTTTTGGAACAGGCTGGAGGGTGGATGAGGCCCTGACTGTACTTATTCCAACCGGACTGACGATGGTTGTTTTAGGCGTATTTGGGCAGCTGATGGCGTTGATTTCAAAAGCCACAGGGGACGCATTTTTGATGCTCTGCCCAGCATTCTTCCGCTGTTTTGCAGCGGAGCCTAATGGAAAGTTCTGAGGTTTGCTCACTATCAAACTTTCCTCAACTGAATCCACTTTGGTTTTCCTCATCTCTTCAATGATTGCTAAGTCTTTCGTGTTTCTGCGCTAGTTCATGCACAATCTTTACCCGTAAAAAAACCATGCATACTTCACAGAACCAACCTGCGTTCCCTATCCTCCGATGTTGAGACACACTGGTCACAGAGCCAGAGCGCCTTGCGAAAGTCCGCTACCCTGGTCTGTGGCTTCACTAAATGAGCTGCTAGTCATTGGATCTCTGCACAGTCTCTCTCTCTTCATCACCTGTGGCTTCGTCGTGACCTCAGCCTCGCTCTCAAGTGACGAGTCCGAGCGATTCTGCTGTACGGCCATGAGACTTGCTGGTGTTCGATGGCAGCATCACATCACTAATGAGAAAATCCATCGACGAGTCTTCAGATGTAACGAACTCCGCCGACCGATTGATGGCATCATTTCACTGCGGAGGCTTCGCTGGCTTGGGCATGTGCTCCGCATGCCAGTCCAGCGGCTACCACGACGAGCCCTATTTGCGAGCACAGGCGTGGCTTGAAAGCGACGAAAAGGAGGGCAGTGTAAAACTTGTATCTAATGCCTTAAGGCGCAAACGTTGGAACTGGCTGTTGTTGGGCGTTCCCGACTCCCGGGTTGGAGACCAAAGGACTCCGAGCACATCTGGTTGCAAACGCTGGAGGATATGGCCAAGAACCGTACGCAATGGCGCACTTGCTGTGAGACTCTTCTACCCTAACAGTTGTTTTCCCTTTCGATTTATTTTCTTCCTCTTATGTGTTGTGGCACTTAGCCAGTTGTATTGTAATTGATAAAGCATCTGGTTTACTGTTATGTATCTTCAGCTGACTTACTGTGAGCGTTGCACATTTAGAATGGAACTTGCTTCGATAGTTTCCACATTGAATTCCGGTTCGTACATTTATATAGCATAAAGGAATGCCACATACTAGTATCAGCCTTGGTGTAGTATTTGGGGTAACTGTTGACTGATCGTCAAAACCATTGTGTCGATCGATGCCTTTCCAGTCATCGGTGTGGTTGTCTATCTGTCTCTGTATTTTCAACGTCAACGCGTTCGGTGCGTGCACGGCTGGCAGACTAGGATTGAGCGGATGGATGGTTTGATCATTAAGCTCTGAGATTTAAATAAAGCGATGTGGACACAAAATGTACGATTGCTAATTCGCTTAGTGGTCGACAGTTATGGTTGAAAGCTCGTCCTGTAGATCTCTGAGTTGGCTTTCGTTTGAGACTAAAAATATTGTTCTGTTGTCTGGGGTTCGGAAAATTCCTCAATTCCGTTTCCGTGGGAACAGTGCGAAAACCGCGATGTTGGAATTACGAATGATCCACACAAGTTCGCTTCGAGAGATGGAATGTACTAAATAACGCTGATGAAGCTGGATCAAATGAGTGTAAGCACACGCGTGTGTGTGATGAGAGGTTCGTCAGTAAATCCGATTAGATTACGAGGCTGGATTTTTCCTTACGTCCACGCGGTGATAGGTGCAATGACCGAAACCCGCAGCTTCCCACTTTCGAGATCACTACGGGAGATTAGCGGTAGTCGACCATTCCGAATCCGCGTAGTCATCATCATCAATACACGTTAGCCGAAGGTGAAAAACATACCTCAGCTAATGTGCCGCAGTCCGCGTAGTCGCAGACGAACTCGCGGTATAGGTCCCGCGCACGCGCGGCCTGTGGTGATCGCGTGTCAGCGGAGCGTCCGTGCGGTGTGCCGATGAAATGCTGATGCCTTTCTCTTCCCTTTCTTTCTTTTCACCTGCAATCGCCGTGACCAAGTAATCAGCTGCGATATATCACCATTTCCTCCACTGCCACGCGTTTCCAATGTGCAACGGACATGGTTAGTCCCCAAAGACGCAACTTCCTTTCTCCATTCAAGCCAGTACATAGTGCCATCGCACAATGGCGGCCCAACAAAGGAAGTTGTATGTCTGGGGGCTAACCTAATTTTCTCCACGTAGAAAATGCGCATAGCAGTATAGGGTAGGGCAGAATGGCTGTCCAGTGTTTTCCCAATGTGCTTGGGGCTGTCTGATTGGGAAATGGCTGCTCTGGACCCTTCGAGCATCTGGTGCTTACGTACAGTTGGATTATATTGGCAGTGAAACCAGTAGGTTGACGTTTGTCATACGCGGTTCTGCAGTCCACAACAATCGTTGCAGAGAAACGCCCTTCGTACATCACGCATTGCCATAGAGAGCGACTACATTGGCACCGGCAGAATGGCCACTGTAGTTCAGCAAAGATGGAGACTCGGAACTCTCTAGTCAGTAGTCTTAAGGATCACAAACCTGCCTTGTAATCTGAGGGCGTGGGGACCAGACGACCCTCGCAGTATCCTTAGCTCACAAGCGACTGGTGGTGGTTGCGCGGCAGCGAAGCTTCGGTACTGCTTACCGGTGCACTTCGCATGCCTTCTTTTTTCGTCTATCCATCTTCATTGGCGGTTGTGCCATTCACTGAAGCCTATCTTCTGCTTTTGCCTGGGGTTACCACTGTGCAGTCAGTGTTGTTCGTGTTTGCGACGTGGCATTTGCGCGGGTACTAACATAGCATTGTAATGTTTCCGGATCCGGACCTACAACTTTGCGCCTCGGGTTCATGTCCACGTTCCTGCATGAATCTGGGCTCTCCTTCGGTGTCACATGACAGCGAATCATTAGTGTAGTGCCGGTGACTTACATTTTTGAAGGAAGCTGTAAAGTTATCCACCCCTCCTCGATGCTAAGCGCCAAACACAAGTTTCGGTTAAGTACTATCTGCCGTAGCTTTTCCAACAAATTGAAAGCTAATTCAATCATCTTTTGCTCGGAACAACAACAGAAATCGTCAAGATGTTCGTAAAAATACTGGTCGCGTCTCACTATCATCTTGTTTCACATCTGGAAATACTATTCACTCGTACATTGTCTCTGGTTGTTCCATCCTAATTCCACTACCATCGTAACGGGTGTTTTGATGTCATGTGGACACTGGAACACTGCTAGGGCGCCTACACCCAGACAGAAAAATGACAAGGGCCTCCCAACGGATTTGAAACCCAGCCCAAGTTACATAACAACAACGATCACATGTAAGTCCAAATCCGTAGTGACACCATGTATGTTGATTGCTGCTCTTGAAACAGTTAACAACTACCAATTCCGGGTGTCCAGCCAAACATATATCACATTTCCCTATTGCTAGCCCCACACGAATGTGTGTGCTACCCAATTTGAAATTTCATCCACTATTTTCCCCAGGGAATTCATCTCCGTTTGTTTTGATTGCTTGCACTTGTGTATCATACTCTCATCTATTTGCTGCTCCCAGCAAACCTACTCAGATCTTGCGAACAAAACCGGTATGCACGTTGTCCAATTCAACGCTGACGAAGATATGTACCCTCGTGTGCTAGCTTCGCCTGCGCCCGGATGTTTTGTGGATCGGGATGCAACAAAAACACATGAAGCCAAACCACATTCTCTCGCAGTACCCGCTCAGAAGGATGAGGAACCACCAATCCTGGCCATTTCTCATCCAGTACGTGCTCGACCGCGTCGACCAAAGCCTGAGAAATACGAATCGCTTTTGGATGATTTAGTGGAAATTGGCGAGGGTCCTGCAGTCGAAACCGATATCACAGAGCTTATCGCATCCGGTGAACGGGATGTCGATGCCTTGGCACTTGGAGGACGTGTACCTCTGATTCGAGGCAAGAAGAAACCGGGATACTGGAACGAACCCGGGAATCTCAAGATGGCAGCCATTAAACACAGGTACAGAAATCGAGAGGCAGCTGAGAGACAGCGAGAGGTTTTCGAGGCTCTTGATCAACAACAACTACAGATCTAACACTGTCCTGTTGTTAGACACTTTAGCGAGCGTACATTTCCAACGGGTGTTTTGTAAAATAAAGTGCAAGTGATAAACGTTTCTTCTGAAAGACAAAGTTAATCACAGTGATCGACGAAAATACATTTAGAGAGCTCGGCATTCAAGTAGTCACAATTTATATCGTCCAAATGGTCGTCAAAATCGTACATCGCTTGGAACAACTTGGATCGGAACGCTTGCGTTAATGAGTGTGGAACCTCTGAGGAGACGGTGTGTCTAAAAGTTAGAGAGTGAGAGTGATTAACAGATGACTCACTTTAATTCTTGCCATTTGCCCTGTGCGTTTGTGTGAACTATGAAGTGCTCACTGGATGGTGGATACAATCGGTCGTTTCGTAGCTATGCGTGATTAAAATGAACCAATGATAATACGTACCATGATTAAACAGGCGGGACCCGACTTCTCATTAAGTTTCTCAGCAATTTTGTAAGCAAAAGTAGTTGGCCTGTGGATCCAATGAATTATGTGTATGGAAAAGCGTACTCTTTATCGCTTATGTGTTCGTTCGCTTGAAAATACCCACATATTCGGAGGTTTTCTGAGTCACAATAGGCCTCGACCTAGGGATTCAGGATACTCTCCCAGTGAACCGAGAGTACTTGATACAAGGCTGCCTCCAGCATTGGCGTCAGCGTTAGCGCACAATGAAACAGGGGCACGTAGTCCGTGATAGTCAGTTTGATGACATCACTTTGATTGCAGAGCAGCAAACCGTTCACGGCTGATTCCGGGTGCTTTGCTGCGTGCATGATCATCTTAACCGCTGGTAGGGTTGTAATGTGCACACTGGATGCCATACTAGTCGCTGAAACAGAAGGGATGGGTGTAAGTGGCATATAAACGAGTTGGGAATGCGTATTAATGGTGATGATGAGGCCTGATTTTTCCCATGTAAGTGGAATGTAACGAAAATATGTGCTGAAACATTATCGAGCTACAACTACCTCAGAAAGACCATTATGTCCGATAAACGCTGCTTAAGGCCTGCAACCGCAGTAGAGCTACCCGATAAGTAGGGACAGTGGTATCGCAATAAGCATTTCAATTATCTGTCGTACTGCTTGTCGAGGATGTGACAAAATCCTCTAGGTGTGCCAAGTACGTACAAGTACACGGTTTGTGATGAGTTCTGTGGACAAAGTTTTCTACTGCGGCCTCCAATTTAACCGGAGTTTTCCTAGTTGATTTCGATTCAAATAGGGCTGGACATTTTGCGCCAACGCTTTGCCGGATAGAAAACAAACCAGTCAGCTGCAACGAGTTAAAATCGTAGCAGAATCTTACAGTGACCAAATTGCAGAAACTTAATATCTACACTTAATTTGTGACTTCGGTGGTAGTTCAGCCCGCAATAAATCGTGTTTCCGTTCTTATCATGACTATAGGCAGTTCCACTGCAAATGAACCGAAGATAAATATGGTCGGCGGCATCCGGTTCCGGACTTGCCTAGCATTGTGGTAGGACAGCCACTGGAAAGCTCGACTCGTTTGGCGTAGAGTACCAAACGACTCCGTGGACCGAGCCCACGGGAACATTCAATTTTGCGTGCAATCCGAGTCAAATAAAGTCCTGGCTTTCCTGGATGTTTAAATGTTACGTCGACCAGCGTAAAATCCACAGGAAAGCGACATGGATGGGTCAATATGTGCACTTTGATAGCTTTATGCCAGTACGACAGAGACACAGTACTTAGTCCGGTATCTTGACGGAAGAGCGATGAAAATATGCTCCGAGGACACAACTGGAACTGAGTACGCTGTAACAATAAGCGCGCTTCTTAATAACGGTTATTCCCGAGGCCTTTATTGACAGAAGTGTGCGTAGTAACTGTGAGGCCGTCAAAACAACCACAGTAGGAAAGAAATCCTTCGTTGTCATCCAAAGCAGACAATAGTTCCGAACGATAAAGAGCGGCCATCATTAGCACTTACGGGATCGCAAAATTGATGATATATATATATATATATATATATATATATATATATATATATATATATATATATAACATGACAACTAGTACAATTGCCATAGTGCCATAACGTATGGTAAAAACCATAAACAAATGAGATGGGAAAATATTAGCAAGTGCGCGCCATTGTACTGATTTACTAAATGAGCAACGTCAGCGTCTGAATCACCGACCATAAAAGTATCATCCATGTGCCTCCAGTAGGAATGAACAGACGCGGTAATAGGTCGGAGGGGCCGGAGTTCAAGCTTGGCAAAGAAAAATATCAGCCAGCAACGGACTTAGCGGTGACCCCATTGCAACCCCATCTATATCTGTCTATAATAGCAGGTCTCAAATAAAAATTGCCTGTCGAAGGTACATCGTAAGATCAGTTCCTTTAATCTAAATACCGGGATACCGATAATTATATGATTTTCTGTCATGTAATCACAGATGAAATTGACAGTCTCGAGTAATGAAACGTTTGTAAAAAGTGACTCGACATCAAACGATGACATCAATATCCCGTCTGCGCTCAGTTGTTCCACCCGTGTAACAAAATCGCAGGAATCCTTTAAAGCATTAATACACAAAGCTTTACGTACCGGCTCCAACCGTGGTGTGTTGTATTGTGAACATATGTATATACGTGTGAGCTTAGCTCTTATAATCCATTGCAAAGGATCGAATACCAAAGCAGCCTGTTTGGACTTGACCAACCCTAGACTTGCCATTTTAGCCTATCACGATTTAACCAGTTTTATATATGTATTAGCCTGATGAGAAATATCGAAAAGAAATTTCTTCGCTAAACTGGGTGTTGCTATCTCTTTGGGCATATTTCACGAATTGAAAAGAAGCAAGCGGCCCGCAGCGTTAAAATACTGCAATACTACAAATACAATACAATACTACAAAAAATAAAATACTACAATAAGGTTAACGTCAGACTTGATATGACGAAGACAGAAATTCGATTTTTAGGAAGGTTTGCAACGTGATCAATATCCTATATCTTAATGGAAGTCACTCAGGCGATGTCACGTGCGGCCGACGTGAAAGTCCCTAAAAAATCACGCATAAAACCTGCTAGATGCAGTGAAATCACGGGTTCCGGAGCTGGAGCGCCTTTGTTCGCTTTTTCAAACTAGTGTGAATGAGCTTGAAACAAATCACCGCGAGTCTTTCAAACGATACACGGAACCAATATGCACAAACGCGGATGATAGGAGGTACACAAAGCTGCTGAAAAGCGTGCAGCCGACGCCACCAGAAACAAAGTTTCCAGCACAACTGCAAAGATATGTCCGCAACCTGTCTAGCGTACAATTAAATCAATTGCAACTTGAGGCGTTAGCATTCTGTTCGAAATTTTGCTACTCTCAACCACGTCATGAACGAGTTCATTTAGAGATCCAGTTTGAAAATCTAATGAACCAAATGTCCGGATTGACTCCCATTTCGCCCTTTGCCAGTGACAAATTCAAAACCACATTGGTACACCTGTGCCACCAGTACATGAATCACGAAACGAAGCCCTCTAACGTACTGTCTAGAAGGCACCGGAATGCTATCAAAGAATTGAGATCGAATCCCGAATTGATCATTTCTGGGCCAGATAAAGGAGCAGGTTGGGTATTGATGGATAAATCGGACTACGTCTAAAAATTACATGCAATTCTTCAAGACACTAGCGACCCAGTACAGAAAGATAGAACACAAGTTGAGGCAAAAACCACGAGCTCATTGAAAGAACTGAGAAATTCTAATATTATGAGTGCCGCGCTATTTGATCACTTAACTCCTATCGGATTACATTCACCCGGCTCTAAGGATTGCACATAGTGTATAAACCGCAGGTTCCTCTGCGTCCTGTTGTCGGTATGTCTGCCCCCGCCTTCCACTCGGTTGCGAAATGGATTGTGTAATTGTTAGAGACGGTACGTAAAGCTTTGTGTATTAATGCTTTAAAGGATTCTTTCGATTTTGTTACACGGGTGAAACAACCGAGCGCAGACGGGATATTGATGTCATCGTTTGATGCCGAGTCACTTTTTACAAACATTTCATTACTCGAGACTGTCAATTTCATCTGTGATTACATGACAGAAAATCATATAGATATCGCTATCCCGATACTTAGATTGAAGGAACTGATCTTACGATGTACCTTCGAGATGCACTTTTTATTTGAGAGCTGCTATTATAGACAGATAGATGGGGTTGCAATGGGGTCACCGCTAGGTCCGTTGCTGGCTGATATTTTCCTTGCCAAGCTTGAACTCCGGCCCCTCCGACCAATTATCACGTCTCCTCATTCCTACTGGAGGCACATGGATGATACTTTTATCGTCGGTGATTCAGACGCTGACGTTGCTCATTTACTAAATCAGTACAATAGCGCGCACCCCAGTTTACAAGCGAAATTGAAAACGAAGGAAAAATAGCATTTCTGGACATATTGCTAAGCAGACGAGAGAATGACACACTCTAAAGAAGTGTCTACCGAAAGCCGACTTGAACAGGGCAGTACACACATTTTTGTAGCTTTGTACCGTTAAAGTACAAACGAAATTTAGTGCATTGCCTGTATTGTCGCGCCATCAGAACCTGTAGCCCCGAAACTTTGGAAACCGAAAGGATTTTATCCTTAGAACACTATAAGATAACGGTTATCCTGTTCCATTTATTCGGAGACACGCTGTGATCCGTGACCAAAGATAAACTATCGCGACTGTGCCAAAAAATGATGTTTATCTTGTTGTTCCTTTTAAGTGAGATGTTCCCTTTGAGTTACTGAACAGAAGACTCCAAAATGCGGTGGCCAAGTCTTTCCCTGCTATCTTTTAGCACGTTATTGCTGAAACTGCCCCGTTTATAACCCAGCGTCTTAAGGATCGGCTCCCGGTCCAGTCCGAATCTTTTATCCTATGTCAATTCACTTGCACCTGTGGTGTAAGATACCTCGGACACGACCAGATCGGATAGCAGAACGCTGCCCAGCAGCGTTATGGAAGCACGCGGTCAAAAGGGCCAACAGTGCTATTTTGGAACATCCAGTACAGAGCGGGCACCAAGTCGTGACGACAGAGGCTTTTAAAGTTTTATACGTTGTGCCGAAACCCTACCGAAAAGGAGTTAAAAGGCGCCTACTCATGACGGCCGAGGCTATTTCGATCAGGCTGATGCAACCAGAATTATGCAATCAGAGGATGCTAGTTCAAAAGCTCCATTTACCCTGGCCATAATTTTACTGTGATTCTCCTCGACCTCCGAAAGTGACCTTTTCATCCCATCGGGCAGCTGAACCGTGGTGTGTTGCATTGTGAACATGTGTGTATGCGTGTGAGCTTAGCTCCTATAATCGATTGCAAAGAATCGAATACCAAAGCAGCCTGTTTGAACTTGACCAAATCCAGACTTGCCATTTTAGCATATCACGATTTTAACCAGTTTTATATATGTATTAGCCTGGTGAGAAATATCGAAAAGAAATGCGAAATTGTGTACGCCAGACACCTTGTTGATTGAACAAAGTGATCCGGCTTCCCAAGTACAAGGTATAAAAAAATTTGATGACAATCCGATACTGTCGTTTGGTGCTATATAGGCATAGTTGATGAAAGTAGTTGTTGATGAAATCGTACTGAGATCCCAACGAATGTAACAAACAGCGAAGGGCAATCAGGTAATCTCGAAGTACTTCGAATCCATGATGGTCATCTCTGAACAGGTAGGTTGAAAGTGCGAGTATATGTTATTTTCACCGAAATCATTCAGGCCACGATACCAGGCACGCATGAAGTGTAAGATGGCGGGAATTCATGTCTCCAATGAGAACAAGCCTAAACAATCCAGGCGGTCAACCCACGACTTCTCATGTTGGTGGTTAGTCCTTTTACCTTCTCTAAGCAAGTGACACCCTTTTGAAAGTAAAGTGCCCAAGCCCGCATACCATACTGTAAGTGCGGTCGAACCACCGCTTTGAATAATGGAAGACCTCAGGTTTAGTATTACGCAACGCTCTTGAGGCGAAAAAGTTCCTGCCGCGCGGTTAGCAGCATATTGGCACCGCGCCGAAGGCCTGAAGCTATCTACCATAACGATGCCTCGCCTTATCTATACACTGCAATGTCAGGGACCCTGTGGATGTATGCACCGTAATCCCAACGTTACTAGAGGATAACGGTTGACATTTGTTCGCATTCAATGGCAAGTCCCATGATTCAGACCACGTTGCCACAGTGTCCAAGTCTTTAGATAACGTATCCCTATCTCCCCTACTGACAAGCTGTACATCCGCAGAAACATAACAGGGGTCCTCGAGGAGTGGAGCTAGATCATGTATACATATAAGAAACAACAACGGTCCTAGCACTGAACAACCCTATGGGCAGTGCCCATGCTAGATCTGGCTTCACCAATTCTGACGCTGAAACTGCTGCCAGAGGAAATCCCACAACCAGGTCATCAGTTGGGGATGCAACCCAAACCAAGTCAGCTTCTCTAGTAAAAAACGATGATTAACTGAGTCAAATACTTTACTGAATTCTAGGTAGCAGACCTCCACTGGGATCCCGATATCGAGGCATCGAGTTAGTTCGTCCAAGAAACACAGCAGATTCGTAAGACATGACTTCTTTCTAACAAAACCATGCTGTTCCACACCAATCTAGTTGTTAAAAACTAAGTGCTCACAAACTCGGTGCCTAATGAGCCGCTCTAGGTACTTAAGCAGAATGCTTGTCAGACTGACTGACCTATAGTTGAGTGGCACCTATGTGGAGGAACCCCCTTTATGAATTGCCACAACAGTCGCCTCTTTCCAGTCATGTGGTAGCCTACCTTCCCGAAATGAACAGTTGAATAGATCCAAGACGGGGTACTGTAGAATATCAGCGAGCGGTTTAACGATCGCTGGATGAACATTGTCGGGGCCTGCCGACTTATAGGGGTTTAAGCCAGCCAGCACCTCAAGGACCTCTGATGCGGTTAAACCAACGTCTTGCATTTCAAGGTCACATGAGCAGTGTGACTGCGAGGGGATTGCACAGCCACTGTCCACAAGTGCTGAAAGACACGCAATAACACCCGCCTTATCCGCATCTTCCCCAACCTCACTACCATCCTCCTTAACCAGGTTACCAATCCACTCCCTCAAAGAAGCTTTTGACTGTATATAGCTGTAATATAACTTTGGGTTTCTTTTTGAATTCTGAGCTAATTTGAGCTCAAAGCGATATTTAGCTCGCTTCTACAATTTGGTTGCTCTATCCCCAAATCGTTTATAATGTAGTCATTGTCTGAAGCCTCCAGATTTCTGAAAGACTTTCCAACAAGTCTCCGAAGTATTCGGGCAATTCCACGTCTCCACCAGCGGAGCTTATTTATGCTTCTATAGGGGCGCAAGGGGCTAATTCATCCAACAACTGCACGAGGCCAGACTTTGTTCCAATGTTGCCTGTTCCTGAGCAGGAACCCAAGGGAGCTGGAGGACATTGTTCCGCAGACGGCTAATATCGATTCGGCCGAACTTTCTCATAAGTCGAGGTTTCAATGGTATCTTCTTAACATTCACCGAAAATGTAAGGACACAGCGATCTTTCCTACCCATGGGAGCCTCCGCATGCATCTCTGTCACATGGTCATGCCTAGCAATCACAACATCTAGTGGAGTGGGTAGTCCCAATTCGACTTCTCGTCGGAGTTGGACGAGTTGGACGAACGCATTCTCGTGTATCCATCTAACCAATTCCCACGCCAAATTACATGCCACGTTGATGGAATGCTCTCACTCGGCATGTGGAAGATTTAGGTCACCAAGTTTAACAAACTTCGGTGTAGCAACTGCCGTCTGGTTTAAGATGTTGTTGAGTTCCTTGTCCTCCACTGTCGTGGAAGAAGGGTTATGGTAAGCAAAGACGAAACTTTCCAACCTGCCATCTACCTTCGAAAAACATAACAGCCTGAAAAGTCGACGTTGCCCTGGAAAATGTAGCTTCTCAGTGCTTGTGGTTGTTTATAACGAGCAAAAGCACTCCTCTATCAATGTGTTGCCCCGGTCGATCCATCCTATAGCTGGAAAAATCCACCAGTAAGTCGCTAACTTAATCAATGGACGACATACTGGTCTCAGTCAAAGCGAAAACATCGGCAAACCTGCAATGTAGCGTCTACTCATCCCACTTATTCCTGATGCTACAACAGTGTATCATACTCTCAGACCCCTTCTCGGCAGTCTTCTTCCTTCGATTAGCGATTCTTTATAATTCCCCTCGGACTCTGCGTCTGAGGTGACAGCCCGTTTTTTGGAATATTTTCTGAACCATCCCCCAAATCAACAATTTGGATTTCCGGACGAATAATGGGGTTTCGAAAGGTCGCACGAGATATTATTTCGTAGCCGCTTAGTTCCCACTTGCTTTGTTAACATGACGCGTAGTCACTTTTCCAGTGGCACCTTTACAGGTCTACTTTTCTTAACCGATCAACTATCAGTAAAACAAGTGTCTGACGTTGTTGGACTAATCTCAGTAGCGACCAACACTCCCTTACACTCGGCTTCCTAAATGTTCCCAACTATTGAAGATTAGTGGAACCGCGGTTGGGCCAGCAGTTGCAGATACTACTGCTCACCCGCGTTCCGTAAGGGTGGAGTTTATGGTGCCTTCCCCAGTACTATTTTCGATTACCAAAGCGGAAATCAAATTGTCTGATATCACCAAATTTTCTGCCGGCACACTCGGGTCACGTAAGTTGTTTTTTGGCAACTATGTGGGACAATCGCATGAAGCAACCTCGACTATTCTCGAAGATATGTCGGAACCATTACCAATTGCAACTTGCATCATTTGATTATCATCTACACACGGGACCGAAACAAGAGGCCCATATACTGGTGCGGTGGGTACAGAAGGTAGCGTGTGAGGTACCACTAGTTATCGGCCCTGGTCCGGCTTGCTAACAAGTCTGCTGCATACAGCAGGGCGGACAAACGAAAACATGCTACTGTTGGCGCCTCCCTTTCTTTTCCACCTTTTTCTCTTACTTACATTACTAACCTTCTATAATTCCCAGCTTAATTGACAGTGCCACTGGAGGAGAACCATCTGCAGCCACAATCCCACCGCACCTATCGGAAAAAGTCCCTTATCAGGCCACGCTATCCCGTTTCCATGGCGACATTCAACGTCCGCACTCTAAGACCGTGTTCGACACTTTGCACGGCTTATCTCATCCAGACGTTCGTGTATCGGTTAAACTCGTAACCGAGGATACGTCCAATGTCTTGACCTCAACACTTTAACGAAACGCAATATTCCTTTATCTGAAAATGGATGGATAATCATTACGCTGCCATGGTACTTACCGGATGGACAAAACACTTATCTTCTATCTTGGATGGATGCCAATATATTAAGGCCTGAACAACTGGGTTCAGCTCGCCTCTTCTTCACATAACTCTTATTCAGAGTTGCTGACATTTAGTGTCAACTCGGTCATTTCATCTAACCGGAGAGCAGATTTTCCTGCACGTGCTATGCACGTAATTTGGAAATATCCCAACACAATACTTGCACACACAATACTTCACTGTGGCAAGAACAAAGGAGTTCGGCCCTTTACACTACTGAAATTCTTTTCACTTACCACCTCTGGAGCTGCCCGCATTACTTTTACCGTCCATATGTTCGTGGATGCCAATGTCCCCAATCAAGTGAACTTACTCTGAGAGGATTTCCGGTTCATTATTCGGGACAATTCGCAGCTTTCTTGGGCCTGAACGGTTGCGTTTGGCCATTCTCCTCTAATATTTGGTTCAGCAACATGTTACTGGATACCCATCAGAGACATTACGCGGTTCTACCGATGACAAATACAAAACCTGCCAGCATGTTAAATAAATAAATAAATGATATATTCTCTGTAAAACGAGACACACCTCTAAAGGCATGATCAAGGCATGATGTTCGATTTATAGATTACCTACCGTACAAGCCGTGCCATTTCGTCAGGAAGTGACAGGACCCATGGATGATACAGTCCCGCCCCATCATATATCGTAGATTTTCGTGTGCTTCGAAAAACGCCAAGAACTTGCTGGAGATCACTCCTTGTAATTCCCGGGCGTTAGAGTTGAAGAACGGACTGTGCGTAATTTCTTCCAATGTGCTCAGTCTCAGAAACAAACTAGACGAAGTTCAGCTGCTTGCCTCCATGAATCGATCGGACCTTATAGCCTTCACCGAAACCTGGTTGTCCTCGGATATCCTGGACTCGGAGGTGCAGATCCCTGGATATCACCTTTGCCGGGCAGACCGCCATGGAGGAAGACCTGGGGGCGGTGTGATACTCTATTGGAAGACGGACTTCAAGGCTCATATGATTGAAGCTACCTGTGGCAGCGATGACGACTTCGAAACTCTCTGGTGCCGTGTTCATGACGGATGCAGATCTCTCATGGTCGATGTTGTCTACAGGGCTCCATTGGGTTCCGGAGCTTGCCTGCTGGACGCGATCAAAATGCATGGTAGAAACAAGGACTGCTTATTATTGGGTGACTTCAATGCCCCATGTATCGACTGGGACCAACTGCATTGTGTTCCATCTTCAAACGCTTTTGATTTCGTTCTTTTAGAGACGGTCATTGAATGTAACTTATTCCAACATGTCACAATGCCTACTCGTATAATTGCAGGACAAACACCCCATATTCTTGACCTTGTACTCTCACCGGCACAATCAGATGTCACCGATCTAGCCGTTCTTCAGGCCATTGGTAAAAGCGATCACTGTGTGGTTTCATTCCTCTGGACACGACGACTTACTCTCCAAAACCAAGTTCGCCTCCGCAGAAATTTCTGGCGGGTTGATCCCGAACGCCTACAAACGGCCGCCAGTGCTGTGGACTGGAGTATACCTGAACCCCTGGATCTGGACGATGAATGGAACCTCTTGTACTCCAAAATGATTTCGCTCGTTGAGCAGGTCGTTCCTGTCTACAAAAGGCCTTTTGCCAGAGGTCCTCCATGGATTGACCGAGAACTGAGGGGCCTAAGGAACAAAAGACGAAAACTGTGGATCCGATTCAAGTTCACGCAATCCCAGTCTGACTATTTTTAATATAAAGTGTCCAGGAATATATGCGAATCGAAAAAACGAGAGAAACAGCAAAAGTACTAATTTGGTTTGGCTGTGCAATCCAAGACAACTCCCAAGGCACTTTTCTCTTACCTGAAGGGAAGTACCAGAGCAGGAAGTGGTTTACCTGCTCTGTATTCCTTGGCGCATGTGGGTTTACTTGACAATGACGCGGCCAAATCCAGTCTCCTTGCCATGCAACATTCGTCTGTTTACTCGATGGAGACGCCGTTTCCCAGTGACGCGGTGCCAATACTCCCCTCTTTGTTGGAGAATGTAGAAATGACCGCTGATGTTGTTGCCAAAGGCATTCGTGAATTAGATCCGAACTCCTCGCCGGGCCCTGATTGGTTGCATCCGCTGTTCCTCAAGATTGTGGCCGATTACATTGCCGCTCCTGTTTGCCGGGTATTTCGGCATTCTCTTGAAGTTGGACGGCTCCTGATTGATTGGAAAGTGGGGATTGTTAAACCCATACACAAAGGAGAGGATCGTCAAAATCCTGCCAATTATCGACCCATCTGTTTAACGTCAATATTATGCAAGGTAATGGAAAGGGTTCTCAAGCGGGCACTTCTTCTGCACCTCGAGAACATTAACGTCATCTCCTGTGCGCAGCATGGTTTTCGGCGGGCGCGCTCATGTTCTTCGAATCTGCTTGTGGCCCGTGAAAGATGGGCTAAATTAGTAGAGGCTGAGAAACGCCTGGATGTTATTTTTGTCGACTTCAGCAAGACCTTTGACAAGGTTCATCATGAAAGGCTCCTTTATAAACTGTGATCAATCGGTGTTTCTGGGAACGTTCTCTCTTAGATCGCTGAATTTTGCATGACCGGATAATGAGGGTCGACGTGAACGAGACATACTCCGCTCCTGTGCTCATGACTAGCGGTGTCCCACAGGGACCAGTCCTGGGCCCAGAACTTTTCAAGCTCTTCATCAATGATCTCCCGGCGGAACTTGAGTTGGATTGGTTGATTTACGCTGACGACTTGAAGTTGTGGATGGAGGTATCCCGTCTTGACGATGCGGACCGGTTACAGGCTACACTTGACACGTTACATGCGTGGTCAGTCAAATGGCGATTGCCCATAAATCGCGATAAGTGCTCGGTCCTCCACATTGGTGCTCCTGAACCTTTCGAGACGTACTACATTGGTGGGGCGTTGCTCAGAAACTCAATACTTGAAACAGACCTCGGCGTGTTGGTGTCATCTGATCTACGGACTACACAGGACACGTTAGGAAGGGTTGTTGCTGCCAACAGGATGTCCCATGCCATACGAAGAGCCTTCTCGCGTTTGACTCCGGATATCTTCCGACTATTGTTTACTTCCAATGTGAGCCCCATTCTCGAATACGGATTACCTGCCATCTTCCCTCTTACCAAGTTCGAATGAGACCTCATTGCGAAGGTCCAACGGCGGGGATCGAAACAACACATCTTGGAGGTACGGGACTTGCCTTATCCCCTGAGACTTCAGCGCATGAACCTGTTCTCCCTAGATTATCGCCGACGTCGCGGCGACCTGATTTTCACCAGGCGTATCCTGAGAGGAGAGATGGTGACGGAGCTGCGGGCATGCTTACAATTCAATGCAAACAGTTCAACTCGAGGCCACAACTGGAAACTGTTTAAACCCAGAAGGCTCCGGGTTCATCCTGCTCTCGCTCTATCAACTCGCGTAGTCAACGATTAGAACGACTTACCGAAGCATGTGGTCGATGCCCAGACAGAGGAATGTTTCAAGCGGATGTTAGATTCTTATCTTTTGAATACGATGGGCCCTTGCAGCTTCCACTGTAGCTGTCACCGTCCCTTGTGGATTACCGCTTAACATCGAATCGCGGCCTCCACACAATGATCGGGAAGCGATGGAGCTGAAAAGGATTCCTCCTTCTACTCTCTACAATCCTATGATCATGCATCAGCCAGCGAAAATTATGGGTGTATCCTGACTGCGACTAACAGAACCAATAATCGGTCAAGTTCAAGTTCAAGCGGGACTGGAACGATAGGATTATCCCGTGAGTAGAGTACAAAGCGCCGAAGAAGCAGCTAATGCCCTGCGGCTGCAATACGCCCCAATTTTTGAACTCGTAACATCTACCTGTCCCATAATATCAAGCTCATTACCGACACCTTTGTTTACAAATGTTATTTTCAACCTATCAATTGTGCTAAGGAAGTTACTCTCACTGCGTGAACATAGTTCGCCGGAAGCAGACAACATCCGCCCGAAGGCACTGAAGGCTGTGGCCAACAAGCTAGCTGAACCACTGTCACAGTTCTTTCAAAGGTGCTTTGATGAACAACAAGTCCCCACTATGTGGAAGTGTGGCATTATAACCCCTATTTTTAAAGGCGGTAGCCGTTCCGATCCTGCAAACTATCGTCCAGTGACTCTCCTCCCTGTGCTCGCGAAGGTGATAGAAGCAGTCGTCGCTGAGGCTTTAATGGACTACCTGGAAAAATGCAACATCTTGGTAGCGGAACAGCATAGCTTCCGTCAACACCGGTCATGCACCACCAACCTACTTATTGCACGAGGTAGTTGGACGGAAGTGGCCGATGATGGGGTCGGAGTCGACGTCATCTATCTGGACTTCTCCAAAGCTTTTGACCGCCTTAATCACCGCATCCTACTTCAACGGCTTCAGAGTTACGGAATCGGAGATCCTGTACTTGGTTGGATTGGCAACTTCCTTTACCAACGAAAGCTCCAAGTACGTGTTAGGGGATCACTTTCTAACCCAATTGAGGTGGAATGTGGTGTCCCGCAAGGCTCAGTGCTGGGACCGCGCTTATTCCTGGTGTTTATCAACGACCTGGCAAGAGTCATCTCCTCAAACTTCCTGCTTTTCGCCGATGATGTCAAGATATGGCGGGCGATTAGTAACAAGGCAGATCAGGATTTGCTCCAACATGACCTAGATTGCATTTACGAATGGTCAAAGAGGAACAAGCTTCAACTGAACATGGCTAAATGCAAAGTGATGCATCTGCGTCACCAGCTGGTGAGCGCTTACAAGATTGGAGACCACACCTTGGCGAAGGTTTCTCAGGAGCGGGACCTGGGTGTATTGGTACAGGAAGATCTCGGGTGTTCCAAACAAGCAGAGAAGGCGAGGAGAACCGGAAATCAACACTTCGGCCTTCTTCGCAGAGCCTTCGGTCGCTCTGAACCCTCAATATTTCCCCAAATGCTTAACGCCTACGTGCGACCTCACGTGGAATATGCCATTCAGGCGTGGCAGAAACAGGATCTCGTTGCTCTCGAGACTCCTCAACGACGGGCAACCAAGAACGTCAGGGGCCTCTTTCATCTGCCCTATCAGCTTAGACTGAAATCTCTAAGAATGTACAGCAGTCGATATCGGCTTTTGCGGGGGGATCTCATAATGGTTTACCAGATTCTGAAGAACCCAAACCACATTTGCCGTCCGCTGCTGGAATTGAACCCCAACACTAAACTAAGAGGTCCCCCTCTGAAACTGACAATTCATTATAGCCGGCTTGAATGCCGTAGAAATTTCTTTTCTCTCCGCGTGTGTGAACCTTGGAATGCCCTTCCTAATTATGTCGTCTCTGCTCCCAATCTGGCGAC